TTTTTTTTAACATTTATTAGTCGATTACATTACATTGTCTTCCTTTGCTTCCCTTCCCACTACTCGTGTAGTATCTCTGTCTCTCTCACTCTCTCTCACTCTCTCTCTCTCTCTCTCCATCTCTCTCCATCTCTCTCCATCTCTCTCCATCTGTCTGTCTCATGCTCTCTGTCTCTCTCTCTATCTCCCTGCATCTCTTTTCCTTAACTCCCTGTCTTGCTCAACCTCCCTGTCTCTATCTCCCTTTGTCTCTCTCTCTCTCTCTCTCTCTCTCTCTCTCTCTGTCTCTCTCTGTCTATATTTCCCTCTCTTTCTGTGTGTGTGTAACTTGTATGCGTTGTACAACAATTGGAATTTAATAACGGTCTCGTCCATTCTGTGGAGAAGTGTACCGCCGACGCAGGGGAAAACGCAGCATACTCCTCTCGAACGGAGAGACGATGATGCGTTGGCCGTCGAGCCTGCTGCCGTCCATGCTCTTCAGGGCGCGCTGGCAGTCCTCGGGGTGGACGTATTCGACAAAGGCGAAGCCGCGGCCGACGGGCGTGCAGCCATTGCGATAGAAATGATCTATGGGAAAATCAACATTGGTCAGCTGGCCAAAGCTGCCAAAAATCTCAATAATATTGGTTTTGGTCACCTGGCGCGTCAGTCCCCGGATGTGCAGGCGCACGGTCTTGAGATCGCGTTCGTGCCAACTGAATGGACTGGGCGTACGATCCGCGCTGCGACGTCGATAGCTTGGTGGCAGCGTCGCCTGGCGCGAGTGCGAGCGGCGGGCACGAGGGCGAGAGCTCTGATCGGAGGGCGCACGGTGTTCGCGAGGGCGTGGCGTTTGTCGAGACGTGGAGCGCCAGTCCTTGGAGCGGCCGCACTCACGCTCACTTCTACGAGCGTCGCGAAGCTCAGTATTGTGGCTGCGCTCCCTCGACGGCTCATGGCGGCGCTTCTTCTCCTCCTTCTTCTCCTCCTTGCGCACATGTGACTTGCACTCCAACTTCAGCTTGTCTTTGTCTTTGTCCTTCGACTCGGACTTCTTCAACGCCTCGCTCAGCTTGGCCTTGCTCGAAGCGTGCTTCTCCTTGCATCCACGCGGCGAGGGCGTCGAGCAGCATTTGTCTTTTTCCTTGTGCTTTAGCTCCCCGCTCACCTTCTGCAAAATTTTCTTCGACTTGCTGGTGGCCGACGACCGCTCCTTGCTCCTGTGCTTGTCCAGCGAGCTCTTCGAGGATGATTTCGACTTCTTGGACTTGGACCCGTGCGACTTGGACGAGTGCTTGCTCTTGCTCTTGCTCTTCGGCTCGTTGCCCGACGGCGTCGAGCGGGCGCAACGGTCGCTGCGACTCCGGCGCCGTTTGGTGTACGGCGTGGGCGACCAAGCCTTCATTGCTTTGGGATCCAGCTTTGGGGTAGTAGCCGTCGGCACAACTGCGGACATAGCCTGGACCGTGGCTGGGGCCGAGGGCGGAAAGTGTGCTACAGCCGGAGCCGGAGCCGGAGCCGGAGCCGGAGCCGGAGCCGGGTCAGTGGCAGCTGATGCGACCTTCTTGCGGGATCTTCGCGAATGGCTGCGATGTTTCGATTTGTTTTTGGATCTCTTCAACGTCTTCTTTTTGCGTGAGCGTCGACGTCGTCGCCTCCTTCGCTCAACCTCGCTATCCGAATCGCTGGTCGAGCTCACCGAGGTGCTGCAAGTGCTGCAAGACATCGACCCACTGCTGGAGTAGCAGCTCTCCGAGTCGCTTTCGCTGTCGCAGCTGGACGACGACGACGGGCGGGGGACCCTCTCCGCCGGAGCCACATTGGCATGGGACGATCTTCTGTCCCTCCTCGACGATGACTCGCCGCGATTGGAGGCGTGCCGCCGCATTTTTACTGGATATTTTCTCGACTCCGGCAAATCAAATATTATTTAAGGAAATTGTTTTTTTTTTTTCTTTTTTTTTTTCTTTTTTTTTTCAAGGTGCACGACGAACGTTTAAAAAGTGAAATAACGAAATCTACAAATTCTGGATTTTTGATTTTTGTTTTATTTCAGATTTTGCTGCTCAGCTTGTCGCTCGACGAAATTCGTTTCAAAATGAATGTGTGAGCTCGAGCGAGCGACTATGCCCCCGTTTGCCCCTCAAGGCCCACTTTGATTGCACAAATTTTTGACAGCAAACTGATGGCAAAGTGCCGAGGCTGAAAGCATGAGTCACTGATTAAGTGAAGGCACAACATATAATTAGGAAAGTAATAAAGGTTGCAGTTCGTTTTGGTATTTGATATCAAAGTAGGTTTTTCCCTCTCACATATACAGCAGAAATATAAGCCGTGCCACTCCCACTTCAGTGGGTAAATTGAAATTATACTGGCTAAATTACGCCGCCTCAAGTCGATAAACATTATATCATGCAGCTCGATTTAATTTGCCCCAATGAAACCAGACACTTGTTATGGCATTGCCATACCGAGCCTTTGGCCCAAATTACATAACTTGGCCAATACTAAGCGAGATTTCCATGTGGCTTATTTGTACATTATTATTTGAGTTAATCATTGATTTAGGCAGATAGATAATAAATCTATTGAAAGAACTTTATCGCAGTCTCTTAGCCAAAAGCAAAGTCACAAAATCTTGCCAAAAACTCCACATTATTTAATTAACACAAAGGAATATTCCAGGCAAGATAATACTCTCGCATTCATTGTTTTGTTTCATGTACTTTGTAAGTAAATTCTTTGTCAGATTAGCTGAACCAGACGTTATTCGATTGTTTGGCTGCCTGAAAGGGGAAATGGGAGCAGTTGTCGCCAGAGAATGCCGCCTCGCGCTGGCCGGCCGTATAAATAGCCCGTTGAGGTGTCTGGGCAATCATCAGCAACTGTCGCTTGCTTCGCTCAACAGCTCAAGTCTCAGCTCCGATTCCAGTTCCAGTTCCAGTTCCAACTGCAGTCATGTACAAGCTCACCATTTGCTGCATGCTAATCGTCGTCCTGGCGACTGCTGCCCAGGCCACGAATAGGCCAAGACCAAGACCCGTCTGCGTGGGCCGCTGCACTGTGGRGGACTTGAGGCGCACCGATTGGGTCTGCACCCGGGATGCCAGGACCAATCTGTGCACCAGGCTGCGACCCTGCCGACTGCGCGAACGCAACTGCGCTCTGAGGGATCTGGGCCTGAAGCCGCTGCGACAGACGAGCCTGCGGCAGTGCGCCAATGTCAGGGGCATCGAGGGCACCGCCCGCTGTGCCCCCACCAGGAATCCTCCCCGTGTGAGGAGCTGCGTCGACAGGTCCTGCGTCAATCAGAGGCCCAACAGCTGCTGGCGCACTCGGGACGGCCGCAACCTTTGGCTCAGCATCTGCGATGCCCGCCGGGTGAACTGCGTCAACAGGAACAAGCCGCTGGGACAGCTGGTGCGCGTCCAGGACATCAAGTGCCGCATCAAGCCCGCCGTCACGGCCTGAGCGACGACCACAGCGATAACCCATCCGGCGATARCCCATCCGTGTTTATTTCCCGTATATGCACAGCTGCATATATATCTATCGCGCCGCATTCCATATCTTATTTCGGACAATTTGTTTGCTCCTTATTATTATTTTGTTTTTTCTCTCTTCTCGGTCCTTCGTATCAAATTCAAAACGCTCGTAAATATTTCATAATGTTGCGACAATAAAAATAAATATCATTTTATGGCATCCATTTCTTTGTTCTGCTTTTATATGTGCTTCGGCCACACTATGTCACCTCGTACCACAGCGCTGGGCCTCCTGCTTCTGCTGCTGCTGCTGCTGCTGCTGCTGCTCCTGCTCCTGCTCCTGCTCCGGCACTGACTCGCATGACTTGGCCATAAATTTGCTGGGGCCGCGCGCTTTTCAAGGCGCCAAGCCAAAAGCGGCCCAAACGGCATCGCAAATGTTCAATAAATTAAAATCGACTGCCATAAATTTCCATGTCAGTACATTAATTAAAAGCCCGTAATTCGCTCGCCCATGTCACTGGCCGCCCGACTCCTGTTCGGGCCTAGCTGCAGCCACCTGCCTCGCCCGCACCGTCCGCCCACGCCCTCACACGCCTCCTCCTCCACAGCAGCTCAGCCGTAGCGGAAATTTTGTAATTTAATGCAATTAAAAAGCCAAACAGCTCGAACAAGAAATTGTATTCATTTCATTTGCCGAAGCAAGCGAAATTGTTGCCACGCATGCAGCGCATCAGCTGCAGCTCGTTAAACGCATCCTCTCCCCATTCCCATTCCCATCCCCATGCCCATCCCCTCTCAGCTTCCTTCTGCTCAGACGTATATCCTCGGTCTGAGCAGCACGCATTGTATTTCTCCAGCCTTGAGGCCATCGCCCACCTCCCACCTCCCGTCTCCCGACTCCCGTCTCCTGCTACTCTCTCTCAGTTACGTGCATTGTGGCTGACCCGCGCTAATATCAATTGCGCTGCATCCTTATCCGCGTCCAGCTGCAGAGCTGCCTCTCAGCCGAGGGCCACGTGAGCAGCTCGAGCAGCGGCTGTTCTGCTCTGATTAAAAGTTGATTACGGATAAAAGCTTCAAGCAGTTTATGAATGCTGTCCATTGTTGCTTAAGCAGTGTAGTATTGTAGCACTCGAATATGAAATACTCCAAGTAATTATGTAAAAACAATCCAAAATAAAAAATAAAAAAAAAAAATTAAAAATTCATCATTAACGAAATAAACTCTTCAATTTCATACAAATAAGACTCCTGCTCAATAAAAATGCTGCTAGCTTCAAGATATAAATTTGACTTGTTGGCCACGCCCACAATTTGTATACCTTTAAGATATATATAGACAATAGTTTATGCGAATACAAATGTATTTATTTATTTTTCTATTTTTTAATTATGTGTACGAATGACCACGAAAAAAATAAAAGAAAGCAAACAAATTGTCCGAAATAAGATATGGAATGAGGCACGATAGATATATATGCAGCTGTGCATATACGGGAAATAAACACGGATGGGCTATCGCCGGATGGGTTATCGCTGTGGTCGTCGCTCAGGCCGTGACGGCGGGCTTGATGCGGCACTTGATGTCCTGGACGCGCACCAGCTGTCCCAGCGGCTTGTTCCTGTTGACGCAGTTCACCCGGCGGGCATCGCAGATGCTGAGCCAAAGGTTGCGGCCGTCCCGAGTGCGCCAGCAGCTGTTGGGCCTCTGATTGACGCAGGACCTGTCGACGCAGCTCCTCACACGGGGAGGATTCCTGGTGGGGGCACAGCGGGCGGTGCCCTCGATGCCCCTGACATTGGCGCACTGCCGCAGGCTCGTCTGTCGCAGCGGCTTCAGGCCCAGATCCCTCAGAGCGCAGTTGCGTTCGCGCAGTCGGCAGGGTCGCAGCCTGGTGCACAGATTGGTCCTGGCATCCCGGGTGCAGACCCAATCGGTGCGCCTCAAGTCC